GATTTTTACCATTTTACATGGTTGAAAAAATCAAAAGCATAATATTTTGTGACACATGAAAATTATGTGAAATTCAAATCTCAGTGTCTATAAATAGTTTCATTGGTGTACAGATAGACTCATTGGTCTGTGTATTGTCTGTGTTTTCTTTCAGGCTACAATGGTTATGTGAAATTCAAATCTCAGTGTCTATAAATAGTTTTATTGGTGTACAGATAGACTCATTGGTCTGTGTATTGTCTGTGTTTTCTTTCAGGCTACAATGGCAGCACTGAGCAGTTATTCCATAGGCTGCATGATCTGCAAAACTTAAAATATTCACTACCTAGCCCTTTACAGAAAAAAGTTAACTGACACCTGCTTATTGAAATACAAAACATACTCATTTTTATAAATTCAATACCCCAAGTCATGTTTCTTTACAAAACTTTCATATTGTTCTGCAAACTTTGCTAGAATAGAATACAGCTCGACTGATGAACCTTAAATTCGGCATTGACTCCATCGAATCTTCTAGCATCCTTCACAAGCTGGATTCGAACATCTTCTGAACAAACAAAAATACTTTCCAGGTGAGACCAAGCTCGCTGGACTTCCATCCAAGTAAAGATGACTGAGTCTGCTATGTTTAATTTATTTTGCCAGCTTAGTACTTGTTCAATGAAATATTCCACATACTTGTTTTGAAGAAGAGTCTGCAACTGAACCTAAAATAAAGGCAAAGAATTTTAAATAGTAGCTAAATTAGTAGACCATGAATGCCCCAGGGGAGGCACCATATCTATTGTTGATTGCTGGATTCTTGGACCTAGCATGTATTACCTGGAATAGCCAGGCATTCATGAAGTTTTTGTTAAATGACTGAGTGAATTTATGACAGCAAATATTCATATTAACATTTTTCCCAAAAGAAAAAAGATAAATATAAATAGTTGCATTTAATATGTCTTCCATGTGAAGACCATGCATATCATTGCAGGCAGGAAAAACAAATTGTGCACTGGGTGCAGCTTTAGGAATTAGACTGTACTCTTTCATCACTCTCCCCTGGCCTCTGCCTACATTAATTGTGCCAAGGTTCTGTGTATACATGTGTTTAATCTTGAAAAAATAAAACAAACTTCCCTCCAGCCTGCCAAGCTCTCAAGCTTGTTTAGGTTACTATCAAGCTTCACAGCTCTCTTACCACCAAGGTTGGTTTTAATGCCATGGAGTCTGGCCAACACTTTTCACCTTTCTCTCACTTGGAAATCCCACAAATCTCATAGAGCAGAATAGCCTCTTCTCACTCTCCTTCACCTCTAGGTATTTAACACATTTAACTCTTCTTTGGGGAAAAATCCATCCCTTGGCTTCTGTGATACTGCAGTATCCTGTTTCTACTATTTCTCTGACCATCCTCTGTTTTCTCCTCTTATTTACCAAATGCAGCCTTTTTCAAGGCTCTGTTCCCAGATAGCTTATCTTCTTTACCTCTCTTCATCATCAATTCTCAAGATACTGACAATGACTTCCCAACCTACAGTTCTAGACTGAACTTCTAGGCTGAGCTCTGGCCTGACTTTCCACCTTTACACAAATGTCCCTTATGCTAAACACACCAAAAATAATAGTGTCATCTCTCTATACCAGTTTCTTTTCCCACGTGCCTTATATCTAATAATAATAATAACACTGCTGTTATTTTCTCTGAATAGTTTGTCTGTTCTACCTTTCTTTTACGTCTCATGTCCAAAGAGATGCTCGTCCCTATAATCTTAGAATTCAAGACCATATGTGCTGTGCTCCCTAGTATTATTTTTTACTACGCCCATAAAGAAAATCTATATTCCAAGGAAACTAAACTTTTGAAATTACATCTGAATGGCAGGTGCTTTCTAACATTCCAAAATGCTGCTAATATTGTCTCCATTGCTTAAATACCCTTTTCTGATTGCCCTTTCTTTTGTTGAATACCTGCCCATCCTTCAAGAGTCAGCATAAGCACCATCACCTTATAAGGCCCTCCCTCAGCCTTTCACCTTCCCTAATTATATAGCCTCTCTGTGTCTTCTTAGATTCTTTGGAGTCTTTCTGTTTGTCTCCCTTCTCAGGCACAAGTTTCTTGAGAATAAATCTTCATACCTTTGGATCCCAAATGATACCATACCTGGAGCCTAGTACAAATAGATGCTCAATGAATTAAAAAAATAAATGTTGAGAACTTGGGAAAAATCTAAAATCCTAATTTAAAATGAAAAATATGTATGTATGATTAAATATATATGCACCCAACACTGAAACATGTAAGTATATAAAACAAATATTAATAGCTGATATATATATATATATATATATATATATATGTATGTATGAATGATTAAATATATATGCACCCAACACTGAAACATGTAAGTATATAAAACAAATATTAATAGATCTGAAGGATGAGGCAGACTGCAATACAATAATACTAGAGGACTTCACACACTACTTTCAACAACAGAAAGATCATCCAGACAGAAAATCAATAGGGAAGCATGGACTTGAACAACACTTTAGAGCAATGGGACTAACAGACATATGTAGAACATTTCACCGAACAGCAGCAGAACAGACATACTTCTCAAGACATGTCTTCTCAAGAGACATACTTCTCTACAAGGATCATTCTCTAGGTTCCTTGTTAGCCTATAAAACAAGTCTTAAATTTAGGAAGACAGAAATCATATCAAGTGTCGTCTCTGATCGCAATGGAATGAAACTAGAAATTGGTAACAGGAAGAATCTTGAAAAATTCACAAATACATGGAAATTCCTCCAGAACAACAAATGGGTTGCAGAAGAAATTAAAAGGGAAATTTAAAAATATCTTCAGCCAAAGGAAGACAGAAACACAGCATACCAAAACTTACAGGATATAGCAAAAGCAGTTCTAAGAGGGAAGTTTATAGCAATAAATCAAAAAAGAAAAAAAAATCAAATAAATAACTTAAAGTTTCATCTCAAGGAGCTAGAAAAAGAAGATGCCTAAAATCAGCAGAAGAAATGAAGCAATGAAGATCAGAGCAGAAATAAATGAAATAGAGACCAGAAAGACAAAAGAAAAGATCAATTAAACTAAGAGTGGTTCTTTGAAAAAATAAACTAAATTGACAAATCTTTAGCCAAACTAAGAAAAAGAGAGAGACAACTCAAAAAATAAAACTGGAAATGAAAGAGGAGATACTACAACTGATACCAAGGAAATACAAAGGATCAATATAGAATACTATGAACAATTATATGCCACCAAATTGGATAACCTAGAAAAAAATGGATAAATTCCTAGAAACATACAACCTATCAAGACTGAATCAAGAAGAAATAGAAAATCTGAACAGACCAATAATGAGTAAGGAGATTGAATCAATAACAAAAAAATCTCACATAAAAGAAAAGCCCAGGTCCAGATGACTCTATGATGAAATTCTACCAAATATTTATAGAAGAACTAATACCAATTCTTCTCAAACTCTTCAAAAAATTGAAGAAAGCATATTTCCAAACTCATTTTACAAGGCCAGCACTACCCTGATACCAAAGCCAGTCAAGAACACTATAAGAAAAGAAAATTACTGGGCCGGCCCGGTGGCGCACTGGATAGTGCGCCGCTTGGGAGCGCGGCGGCACTCCTGCCAAGGGTTCGGATCCCATGTGGAGACT